TTGAGATGGTTCATAACTTGTGGTAGATATCAATTTAATTCATGAAATAAAAACTGCAGCTTTACAGCCTTAAAACCATCCCAGCCTTTATCATGTACAAAAATCAGGATACATGTCATCGCTGATTAAAACCAACATGGAACATCTAAGCAACCTGTTAAATTTACTAGAGAGTTTATCGAACATTATAATTTACTTTCAAAATGTCAAATTGAAGTAAAAATACAGAAAAATTGATGAATTTTCACTGACTCTTCGAAAATAATATATAATGTTCGAAAACCCATCTGTTGTTGATCGTCCGATTTTCGAGAAATTGATTGTCAAAATTGATTCCTGGTTTGTCTGAAATATGCAGGTTTATTTAAAAAATTTCCATACGTCAAATTTAGGTTAAATTCACGGAATGGACAGCAACCTTGATCGCAGCCTAAATGTGGGGAGTTGACAGCTGTAGTATACTCCTAGTCCCACCATCGAATGGCATTTGCTAGATAAGATAAAGTTGCGACATAATTAAACAAATAAGCTCTGCAAACAACGCTTTTTGAAAACAATTTTATTAATATGTTACTGAAAAAATGCAAGGATCAAAAAGGAGGACATTTTTGGGCAAAAGGAGGACGTAGAAAAATTATTGAAAAAGGAGGACATGTCCTCCTTTAGGATACCATATGGTAACCCTAGTTATGATCGAATAAATAAGTTACTATAAAAATGCTTCATTTATCTGAAATTATCAAAACATCGGCTTCTTTAGAAAATTGCTTGATAGTCGATTTGAGATCAAATCAAATCAGATCAGAAGTCATCTTTGACGGAAATATTCCATTTTTTGTTCAAACTCGTTCAGAACAGAGAGGATGTGCTTAGTAAAGATTGGAACGCGGAAAAATTTGTCGACAAAATTAATATCACAAAAATTATTTTTCTTTTGGTAGTTCAATTCATATATTCAAAGGAAAAACTGTTCGTTTATTCTTTTGGTTTGCCAAATCCGAACTGCCGTGCCTTCCGCTTAACCCCTTCCATTAAATTTTGCACAGTGGTCTCAACGACCTTATTCGCCGCCAAACGCCAGTTAGATTAAAACTGCTGCTAGTTTTCCATGGATTTATTAGTTTTTTTTTTAATTCCGTTTCACCAAGGCCCAATACCGTTCGATAGGGTGGAGTTCTGGGTTGTTGGGAGGGTTGTGGTCTTTGGGTACCACAACCACGTTGTTCGCATCGTACCACTCGACTGCTTTTTGCCCATAGTGGCTGCTCGCCAAGTCCGGCCAGAACAGCACAAGTCTATTATGTTGCTTTAGGAATGGTAGCAGCCGCTTTTCCAGGCTGGACGTAGATCTCTTGATTGATGGTTCCCGTAGTAATGAAAATGCCGCTTTTTAGACCACACGTGCATATGGCCTGTCAGACGAGATATTTTTTCGGGAACTTCGATAGTTTGATGGTTTTGAAAATTTCAGCCACCTTCCCTTTTCCTGATGCGGTATAAAACTCCTGTCCGGGAAGCTGCTTGTAATCCGCTTTCACATAAGTTTCGTCGTCAATGACGACACAGTTGAACTTTTTGAGCAGATTCGTATACAGCTTTCGGGAACGCTGCTTTGTCGACGTATTTTGTTTGTAATCTCGGTTCACAACCTTCACCTTCTTAAACGTTGACAACCCGGCTCGTTTCTTGGCACAGTAGTATGGGAGTAATTGACGACCGGGAAGGAGAGGTTAGGATTCCGCTTATATTTCACCGCCACCTTCTTCGTCGTCGCTGCCACGTCCGGATTACGACGCTTCCGACTTCCTGGCGGTCGACAAACGCTCCCCGAACACTTTTAAAACGTTTGTCACGGTCGATTTGGCCACATCTAGCAATTTTGCCAACTTGGCGTGTGAGAACGTTGGATTCTCTTGCTGCGCGAGCAAAAGACGTCATTTTGAAAACTGGAGAGCAATCGGTGAAAACTCATTATAACATCCATTTTATATACACTCAACTTCCAAGTGCAGCATTACAGGTTTTTTTTAATGCATTTTTAACAGAAATACACCAATTTGAAGTTGACCAATTTTTGCGCGTTCCAGACTTTAGGACGGAAATTAGATCAAAGACCATATACATGGTTGAGGACATAGATTGATCAGAATCGAGAAAATACATAGCATTGACACTCGTGTATCATCTTCGGTTTTACTTCGTGAAGCAGCTTGCCAAAAATTTGGTCGTTTCCTTCTACTGGCTCGAGCGAGCTGTGTGGTCTGACCGAGGCTGTTTGTTATGAAAAAAAGGAAGAAGGTTATATCACAGACAAACACTTCATTGTGTATCTTCGTGCACGCATTTAACGGTTGATTTGAATATTATGAGTTCCGCGAACTACTCGCCGCAGCGCTGGCATCGGATCACATTGACGTTTCTATACATTCTATAGAACTTTAATGCAATATTGTTTGCGAGTTTGTCTGTGGTTATATCATTATTGCTTTTCATTTCTGACAAAGCGTTATCGTTCGGCTCGTTGATCGCTTGATTTTGTTATTTGGAGATATTTTGATTCCTTGCAGCTCATATAAGAATTTCTTTTTTTTTTTTTTATAAATATAGTATCCCAACGGACTTTGGGCAAGCTGGAACCTTAAACAAATTCGATCTACATACCGATGTTTAGAAGCATCTTAAAATAAAAATTTCTATTTATATTAAATTACCTGTTTACGTTTAAAGTAAAGCATATTAATTGACCGTTTTTGTATAACATTGCGAATATTTATATAAATATTTCAAAGGAAATTTGAAAACTATGTCTACCCTTTCACCAGAAAATCATTATTAACTTTAAAACCATCAACAATAAGCGTTTACTTTCTCAGGTAGAGTTGTTAATAATTTACCCAAATATTGAAGAACTTGATCCTACTTCTTTTCCAGTCTCGAGTCATGTTCTGGCATGCAAATTGCAGTCGTTCTGTCTTATGTCGAGGTAATAAACGTGGAGCACTGATCATTTCAGTACCCTCCAAACCGTCTATACCGAAGTATCCAATTGAATCTCGGTGAGCAACTCTTTGAAGTATTTGATGCTTTACTTACAATAAGTCGCTCATCTTTTTCTGACAGCTTATTTTTTCGTCCTGGACTCTTTTCTAGCCACGGGATTTATCAGAAAATTCAAGACTACACAGTAACTACGTCCAATTTCACTTGAAATTTTCCTGATCGACTATCCTGTCGTCCTAAAGGCCAACATTTGTCCTTGTTCTTGTTCACTTTGCCTCATGCGTCTACCCATTTTAACAAAGTATTGTTTAATGAATGAATTTTACGAAACGTAACAGGCGCACCAAGTGGTTGATTTTTTTTTGAAAAGGAATTATTCTTGATAACTTTTTCGAAAGGACGTATCAACTTTTGTAAACAATGCATTTGATCGTCGATTAGACTTAACTGGTAGGTCGCCCAAAATATTTGTATTCGACATGTTTTTCGTGACATGCAAAATTTGATTTTATGATTATAATAAGCATTTGGAATGTCAAAAGGAGGTCTTGGTAGATACCCAAGCAGCACATTTCCATCAAAATAAGCTGCTGGAACTTGATTGTGACTGGAATATATGATTGACAAGTGTGTTGCTAGGGTATCGACCTACATATAATAAACCATGTTGAACGTAAATTAGGCGAGATCTAACTGGACTAAGAATAATAGTTGCTTACACATTAGGGTTAAGATCTAGTTTCCGTTGTACTAAGCATAACTCGCGCTTCATCTCTCTTTTTGGAACAGGATTGAACAAAAAAATTTAATGTTTCTATCAAAAATGACTCCTAAGTTTATTTATCTTCCATACGTACCGTTTGATTTGATGAAGAGTTAAATATTGTTGAGATGTAATGTCAGCCTAATTGCTCCTAATTTGGGCCCATACATAAATTCAGCAATCGACTAAATTTTCAATAGCGACCAAAAATATCCATTAGTACCGTCCCAATGACGCGTTCATCTAGATACAATTGATAAATAGCACATTTTTAGCGATGGCCCCAATCTTAGGTCCATAGGCCAACATTAGAGTCATTTCCCCTATTCAATAATTCTGCTCGATATGACGGAAATGGGCGCTTATTCCGAAGTAGTTCTCTATCCTATGAATTATAAAATCTACTCATATAGGGTCCTCAGATAGTCTTGTAAGTGAAGGCGCTGTATTACCAAGCCGCAGGCGGCGAGTTCGATTCTCCAGTCGAGGAAATCTTTCGGTTTGGAAATTTTATTGGCTTACCTGGGTATAAATAATCATTGTGCTTGCTACACAATATACAAAGTCATGCATTGGTTGGCATTGAAAGCTCTCAATTAATAACTGTGGAAGTGTATCTAGAACACTAAGCTGAGCGTAGAATAAGAAGAAGTTTATATCAAATCTATGTGCCAAATACTATTAATTTTATTAAATTTTTAACTGTCGTAACAGATACATTCTACTAAAGCTCAATTAATTCATTTGATTAGAAACCTAAACGCGATCAAAACCTTGGCCCATTTTACTCGGATATGGCCTAGATCCTGGTTTTACTACCACTAGCGAAATCAATTTCATTATTCACCCCTATGCGTCACAGAGCAAGCACGTACTAGTTCATAATCCGAATTAGGCAATCTAAATCGACTGTCAGAGGCCAGAATGTCACCACTTTTAGCACCCAATTCTATCAGCAGCCGGTACAACCGTTCCAATCCATATAAATCCATCGACCGTGGTCACGTGGTCAACTATAGAGCGCCGCCGCGCAACCTTTGGCAAACGGCACTCTTGGTATCGGTTTTCCTCCGCGGTAGTCGTTACCGAGCGGCAAGCCCTTTTCGGAATAAGTAGAAAAGCAATGACCGTTGACGACGCTGACGACGGTGGAAAAGCGAAAACCAATGACAAAACTCATTCTAATCTGTAGAAAAAATCACCTTCTCTTTCTGCTTTCTTTTCCTATAAACTTTAGGCAGCTCGTAAAAGCCGGAAACGATCGCCGCTGGAAAAAGTGAAATCATCGTGCTTCAGCATTTGGTACCCGACTCCGATTTGGGGTAATAGAAAGAACAAATCTCAGAAATCTGGGAAAATGTTCTTTTGTTTTTTCATCGAAGCGACGGTTGCTGTTCTGTCAGCATAATCCAAATTCCATCGATTAGATCCTAGTTAAATTGGAGGTTCAAGTGAATGGAAAAAAATATCAAAAGCATTCACTTGATGGCTTATCAACGAAATCAAAAGCAGAAGGAATGCTAGAGAAGAGATCGAAAAAGGTTTTGTTTGTCAAAGTTAATGAGAAGAAATTTGTGTACATATTGAATCCAACGATAAAGTGTTTAAATTCTAAATCAAAATTTGTAATCTTACTGCTCTTTCTGAAGGGAAAAGAGAAAAGTATTGTCATTCGGGAAAGAAGACAAGTTGTAGGATAAAAGTGTTTGCAATCGTTTTTAATGTAGTAGAAGTAATTTGTCACGATATTTTCAATGCAATCAAAGTATAGTTGGCTTAGTAGTGTGTCAGCAAAGTAGATGATTTTATCTTACACTCGAATGGTTTAATGACCTCGTAGCTATTTGTTCGCCAAAAACTATTGTGCTCTAACTAAAATAAGAGTTAATTAAGCTACAAATAATTCACAAACGTGCGTGCTATTAGTGTGGAAGGTGTTAAAACGTACCCGTGCGTGCTTGTGAAGTCATATTTAGAGTGGAGCAGCATTTGTGTCGATTCATGGTGTGTGAAAATAAAAAAGAAGAAGAAGTGGAGAGTCGGCACTTGAAGGCCCTGGAGAAACTCACTGCGTTTGAATGATTGACTTCCGTCGCACTAACAAGGTAGGCGTTTTTTTAATGTTCGTTACATGATAGACTAATTACAGATTGTGATTGTTGAGGCAGTGATTGAAAATGATGGATTAGCTTGTAAATTGTGAGGGGTGCTCTCTTTGGTGAGTATCACAAGCGAAAATCCATGAAAAACATTCTTCAATATTTAACTAGTGTAATTCATCTGTGTCAATAAAAAATAAATACTTTTTCGGTGCTTTGGGGTTCTATTGACCCAAAAATAACCCCATTTATAATTATACAGTCGATAGAGCAACATATTTTGACAAGAAACATTGGGCAAATTGTATGAAACAACTGCAGGCACACTTTTATGTGATGATCAAAATGTTCCCTCCTTACCCATACAAAGCTATGAACTGGATGGTTTATATTTAAAATATTTAAGTTTAAAATTGTTAAGCTAAGCAAAAATAATTTTAAACAAAATCGATCTGGATACAGCTACATTTTATAGATTCACTATATCACTGTGAATCTGTAAAAGGTAGCTGTATCCAATGTGAAAAGGCTTTAATTACAAATATTCCCAGGGATAAAGAGTCCATGCAGTCAAACAACCTGCTAATCATTCAAAGGCTTCTTTCAAAGCACCATAAAAGTTCATTTTTTTAAATTAAATGACGAATTTAGTTTTTCATACATGAAATACCCGTGTTAGACTCAAACCAATTCTTATTTTATTTGCGATTCTAGGGCTTTATTTATGAAAGTTATTTCCTATTTCAATTCTTGTGTGATGGAAGCATGGATAGAGCAAATTCGACCATGGCATTTTGAAAATTTGAGTAAAGTTGAGATTTCAGTTGATACGCTTTAAAGTATACATTATAATGAAACTTATAAGTTTAAAAATAATTTAAAAAACGGTTTATTATTTTATTGGAGATTTTATCAAATTATATGATTTATATACCAACAATTTGATATTTTTAAAGGTCATCTATTTTCTGACGATTTTGTCTCAAACGATATGATTTATTGATAAATATTGGGGTATTCAAAAATTAGGCGGAAAACATTTGATCGATTCATCAGTTGGCGTGGAAATGCTCAATATCGAGGCAGCCCTTAACCCTTTGTATGTGCCAAAAAAAAACTTACGTTGTCTGTACCTTAGGGCATGCTTGGCATACACAGTTTTGGTCACGAACTGCTCATTTGCTAATAAATTTGCACACAGTTGACGGAACATAGTTTTTTTTTGAAGCAGAAGATAGAATAGAGTGTAAGCTTTTCATAGATATGTAAAAAAAAGTATATTTTAATGCTAGTAGTAAACTGTATTTGTTATTGTTACAACACAATGAGGTGAGAAATGCTCACTACACATCTCAAAATTTAAATGTTAAATTGATTAGTCTTGATTCAAATGTTAAGCTTTACCTAATCTTCGCATATCTACACTGCCCATAATCACATATCAGTCCCATATGGATTGGAAATCAAGCAAAGATAGGACTGATATGTGATTAAAGGCAGTATAGTAAACTATGAGCCTAATCTATCTATTACTTTAAAGAAAAATAAATTTCAACATCTGAGTGAAAAGTTATTACCAAATGAGCAGTTGGTGTGTACAACTGTGCATGCCAAGCATGCCTTAGGGTCAATTTGACCCCAGATTCAAATCGTGTATCATATCGCAGTGAAGGTTCAACGGATTTCGGAAATTTCAAATGTTTTGTAAAGTAAATTAAAGTAAAGTACATTAAAGTCATCCCAGTATTATGGGTCACCCACAATTATGGGCCACTTCCATTTGATTAACACACAGAACTGGCTGACCCATAATATTGACTAGCTGGCCCATAATACTGGGGTGACTGTACTTACTGTTTAAATTACCAAAATGTATTCGAGGAAGAGGATCTTTCATAGGGATGGGTAATTGTAAAAAAAATCCCATGAAGTGGTTGAAGTTAGAGATGTTTATATCACGAGGAGAGCGTAATATTATTGACTGCAGAAAGAACTACTTTTTCAACTCATTGCTCCATCCTGATCGTATGTACCAAACGGTTAACGACAGTACAATGAAAAAGCCAACATAAGCATTCAGTCAATTCAGTTAATCGAATAATAGATTAATCGATTAAAGAACCGAAAAGTAAAATATTTGCTATCGGTTATATCATGCCGATATAAGCATTTACTTCTCCAGAGGATCATCACCCATCGTTTCAAATATGTGCTGCACTCACATTGGTGGAAAACTAAAAAACGCTAAATATAATTCGTGACATTAACATCTCAACCATCGAAATATGTCACTTCATGGGTAATTTTTACAATGACCCCTCCCATGAGATATTCGCCCGTAAAAATGCCAGATAATTTCCACTTTGCAAATCATTTGAAATTTCAGAAATCCATAGAAATTGTGTTGTGATAAATTCAAATTGACCCCAAGGTACAAACAAAGGGTTGAGTACTTTAATGTACACCATTCTCGAATTCACAATTCTTTGCTTCACCGACAACTACACAGCAAACAATTATGATAATTACAAGTGCTGTTATCCGACTGCATGCGAAAAATACACTTATGTAATCTTTAAATAGCGTAATAGTGATTTAGGAATCCTACACACAAACAGAGTCTATATAATCGAATCAAAATACGTGTATGTTTATTGAATTATATATTAGCACGTGTGTTCACACTGGGCATTAAAAAGAAATCTCACCGTACTCGTTTTTCAATTCCTACCAATGTGAATTCACATGAACGTGTAAATTTATATCTTCACATGAATGAATCAATTATGGTGCACGAAACTATTGCCGCGTTTTTCAATCATCCATCACACGCTAACAAAAAATAAGTAGTGGAAACGCTCCTATAGTAGCGGTACGTTAGAAGCGTTAGGCTCCTATAGTTGTGCATGGAGTCTCAATACACAACTATATGAATCTAACACTTCTAAAGTACCACAACTATAGGAGTGCTTACCCTAGGAGCATTAATTAATGTCAATGAATGAAAAAACGGTTGATAAACCTGGTTCTGCGAGAATATTTGTTTGGAACCAGTGCTAGAAACAGTTCTGGTTTACTACAGTACATTTGAAAAATAATTTTTTTCTCAGCATCTACAAACCAAAGCAAACGAACTGTGGCGAGGCAAAAATGTCGCGATATTTCTGAACTGTTTTTTACCATTTACACTACACATTCGCACACAAGAGAAAACAAGACCCTGTAAAGCACAGTTTTTTGTCGACAAGAATGTTGCTAATTCTTTGACTGATAACCGCATATATTTGACGCTTATAGCATGGAATCAAAATACAGTGCCTGTCCGTTTTTGGCAATATGGCATTTATTTATGTTGCCAAAATTGGGAATTTTGCAGATACTTTTATTTTCCATATCGACAGTGAGCATGCATAAGGGCGTGAACGCGATGATCGATTCTCTTCGTCGATTTTCTCTTTTGTTAATAACCTGAAAAGTTGTAATTGTATCTGTTAGTATTAGCCACTTGGCTTTCGGTATGATAAAATCAACTCAACTGCTCGCCTCCGTGTCAGAACTAAGAATCATTTTATTACTTCTCTCTTATGCTAACTTAACCTACCTAGCGGTGGCGGACGTGACCCTTTCTGCTGGATCAGCACAAACTGCGTTCGCTGCCCGAGTGGCGTGATCGCGTTTATGCTGACCTTTTTGTTTACATACATTTTATCGTCCGTCTGCGCATTGCTTGCGCAGGGCCGTATCCACCACACGCCCTATCCGAATGAAATTTAAAAATTTATTCAACAGAATAAGTTTTTAAATTGTTTTTGAATTATTTATGTTGAGTTTTTTTTTTGTATCAAGATTGTATAATATAATTGTTTTACTATATAAATGTGTGTAACATAATTGTATATAATTGTAATATAGATGTATTAGTTATGAAAATGTGTTTGTAATATGTTTTTGAATTATTTATGATGTGTTTTGGTACCAAACTTGTATAATATAACTGTGTCTACTATATAAATGTGTGTAAAATAATTGTATATAATTGTAATATAGATGTATTAGTTATAAAAATGTGTTTGCAATATCTTTCTCTTTTTTTTTTTTTTTTTTTTTTTTTTTTTTTTTCGGTATTGTTGTTTCCACATTAAGAAACTATTTCGAGTTAAAAAAATTTTTAATCCTATCCTTATGAATGATATCCGTGTTATTCCCTATTTGGATCTTTATATTGGAACCTAACTCCTCAAGGACTTGATATGGCCCTTCATATTTAGGCTCCAATTTAGACCCCACTTCTCTCTTTACCAGGACCTGTTGTCCCTTAGCGAAAATTTTGTCTCTACATCCTTGCTTGTTCTTTTCTACCCTAGTTGCTTTCCCTTTCAGAAGACTTTTTCTAGCTTCTATTTGGGACTTTTGCAACTGGAATTTCAAAATACTAGCATAATCGTCTACATTGTAGACAGGGTCGGTCTCATTCTGTTCTGTTAGGTTTGATGGAAGTGTGCAAAGCTTCCCAAATACTAGTTTATATGGAGTCTTGCCCGTTGCACTATGTACCGTTGTATTATAAGCGAACTTATAATACGGTACCCAGGCAGACCAATTTCCGTATGAGTTTCCCGTTTGGATACGAAGAAAATTTCCCAAGACTTTGTGGGAATTTTCCAACGATCCGATTGTTTGGTGATGATAGGCGGTAGAGTTCAACTTCTCTACCTTTAGTTGATTACATATTTTAACAAATAGAGCAGACATAAATTCTGTCCCTCTATCTGTTAAGATTTGCGTTGGAACACCGTAATTTAAAATGACATTATCGACGAATGCTTTGGCCACAGCATCTGCCGATTTGTCCAAAATTGGTGTTGCCGTAATGTATTTGGTTAAATCGCATTGGGTTGTCAAAATATATTGATTCCCTTGCGCGTCTGGTAGAAGAGGACCTACAAGGTCCAAGAAAATTTTCTCGAACGCCGAACTGGCCGTACTAGTCAACTGCATTGGTTGTC